CTCTCTCTTTCTTTCTCTTTCCAGCCCCCCCCCCCAAACCTTCTGTGTGTGCCTGTGCATGTATGATCCTGGTGATGGTGGTGTTATTTACAAAACAAGAGTCTTAACAGATCTCCTATTGATCTGCCTTCATGTTTATGATTCAGCTTCTATGCATAAGAGTTTTGGCAAATGTGGTTATTAACACTGAAATTCGGTCTTAAGGAGATAAAATCAAATTGCCTTATAGAACTTTAACAGCAAGCCTGAGGCTAATAAAACATCCAACCTACTGCCTGTTGGTGGGCGCGTGTCAGCTTTACCTTGAATCTGGGCTGAGAGGGGGTGACTGAAAAGGGTAGAGCCCTAAATATCATTTAGCCAGATTTGGGTTTTAACAAGCTATAAAGCTTGAATTGACAGCGAGCCTTTCTCCTTAAAGGAGAGACACTTTTCTTTTCCCCCTCAAGGGAGAGGCGACCTCCCTTTCACTGGGCTTCTACTAGTCTTCTGAAACACTTTCATAATCAAGGGACTTCCCTTGCATGGGTGCCTGGGGACAGATGATTTTTCTCAGAGGATGAAGTTACATATTGATTGCTGTTGCTCCGGGTGTGTTTGCACCAGCGCTGGCAGAAGCGGGCGCGCGAGCGCCCTCACATTCACACACACTCACTGAAATACACATCACACACCCCCACCCCACCCCGGAAACACACACACACACACCCCTCTGCACCTCATTCAGACGGGTCCACACGCAGCCAGAGATCCACGCCTCCCTTGCTATGGGTGTGTCCGTGGTGGCAGTGTGTGTGTGTGTGTGTGTGTGAGTGTGTGTGTGTGTGTGTGTGTGTGTGCAGAGACCCACCAGGAAGACTGCAGCTACCTTATTTTGCAAGCAAGCTGCGATCCGGGTTCCTGCATACATCCCGCTGCCTAACTTTTTTTATTTTTCCCCAGTGCCTTCTTTCCTTTCCAGAGGAAGGCGGTGAAGGACCTTCCCCATAGTCCCACACCCGGAGCCCCGGCAGCGAGCCTGGGGCACCGCCGCGACTGCGGAGCGCAGGGCTGGGCGAGCCCCGCCGGTCTCCCTTCTAACTGATCTAATCAATGACTCGGAGGCGCTGGGGATCCTGGCTCCGCCCCCGCCAGTCTCCTCTCTGCCTCCCATTGGGCGCGGGCCGAGGAGGCGGGGCTTTGCCCCTCGCGCGGATTGGCTGGCAGGGAATCAGTATCAATGTTTAAGCGGCGGCGTGAGGTGAATAGTCAGTCAGCAAGAGGCGCTGGGGAGAGAGCTGGGACTGCGAGCCGGTGGCTGCGGCAGCGGCGGAGGGCGGCTGGGGAGACGTTACTCCAACTGTTGAATTCCCGTCTCTCTTCTCCTTCGATGCGTGGCTTGCGGAGATGGCTTTATTTGCTTTGAAATCCGCACGTCTTTTGCAGGCTGCGAGCTGATCCTGACAGACACCAGATTGAAAGAGACCACCCGTGACAGAGAAGGAGGAAAAAAAAAAAGCAAAACCCTCCACAACGGACTGCACAATTAACTCTGCACACCGGGGCCGGACTTGGTGAACAGAGAACACTGGGAGGAAAATCCTCAACTGTGCTGCGGGGCTAAGCTGTGAACACTCGCTGGAATCCTGATTTCCCCCAAAAGACTCTGAAAGATTTGGTGGTTCCTCACGCCTAAGCAAAAGGAAAGGCTTTTTTTTCTTTTCTTTTTTTTTTCTAAATAAACAAATACATACACCTAGCAAAACAGACGCCCTGTTTTTCCGAGCCTTGGACTCCGGCAGAGAGAGGTAGAGTAAAAGTGCTGCTG